TGGTGTCCTAATAAGTGTCTGACGATTGGTTTCTAAATGAGTGACAGACAAGTTGTGACCTAAAAAGTGATTGACATGACGTTTCATAATGAGTAACTTACAAGTTGCGTCTAAAACATTGACTGAAAAATTGTGTCTAAATGAATGACTGACCAGTGTTGCCATAATTAATGACTGACATGAGATGTCATAATGATTTAATAACAAATTAGTGTTATAATAAGTTACTTACAAGTGGTGTCATAATGAGTGACAGACAAGTGGTTTCCTAATAACTAATTTACATGTGTTTCTTAATTAGTTCCTGACAAGAGTTATAACGAGAGATTGAAAGGTGGTGTCATATTGAGTGACATGCACCTGGTGTCATACTGAATGACTGACAAGTGTTGTTGTTATGAGTGACTGACAAGTGTTATGCTAATGAGTTCATGACAAGCGGTATCATAATGAGTTCATGACAAGCGGTATCATAATGAGTGACTGAATAGAGGTGTCAAAATGACTTACTGACAAGTGGTGTCACATTGATTGAGGGACTATTCGTGTAAAAATGTGACTGTGACATAATTAAGTGCTGAACAGTTGTTGTTATAGTAAGTGACTGACAAGTGGTATCATGATAAGTGGCTTACAAGTAGTATCATAATGAGTGACTGAAGACTGTGACATAATTAAGTGCTGAACAGTCGTTGTTATAGCATGTGACTGACAAGAGGTATCATAATAAGTGGCTTACAAGTAGTATCATAATGAGTGACTGACAAGAGGTATCATAATAAGTGGCTTACAAGTAGTATCATGATGAGTGACTGAAGACTGTGACATAATTAAGTGCTGAACAGTCGTTGTTACAGTAAGTGACTGACAAGTGGTATCATAATAAGTAGCTAACAAGTAGTATCATAATGAGTGACTGAAGACTGTGACATAATTAAGTGCTGAACAGTCGTTGTTATAGCAAGTGACTGACAAGAGGTATCATAATAAGTGGCTTACAAGTAGTATCATAATGAGTGACTGAAGACTGTGACATAATTAAGTGCTGAACAGTTGTTGTTATAGCAAGTGACTGACAAGAGGTATCATAATAAGTGGCTTACAAGTAGTATCATAATGAGTGACTGAAGACTGTGACATAATTAAGTGCTGAACAGTCGTTGTTATAGCAAGTGACTGACAAGAGGTATCATAATAAGTGGCTTACAAGTAGTATCATGATGAGTGACTGAAGACTGTGACATAATTAAGTGCTGAACAGTCGTTGTTATAGTAAGTGACTGACAAGTGGTATCATAATAAGTAGCTAACAAGTAGTATCATAATGAGTGACTGAAGACTGTGACATAATTAAGTGCTGAACAGTCGTTGTTATAGCAAGTGACTGACAAGTGGGATCATAATGAGTGAAGCCAAAGAATAATAATTAAAATAATAATAAAGTTTATTTGAAAATCACGCTTGATCCTCAAAGGCTCAAAGCCCGGTAAGTTGGAAAAAAACATTTGCTCTGATAATAACTAGGACTGGACTAGCCTCAGTTGTCTGACTATTGTCGGAGGAAATAACATGAGTTGCATAAAGAAAAGCTTGGTTCTACAAGTGAAGCAGATGTGTAATGAGAAAAAAATTATGCAACCAATGTTTCTGAACTGTATTATTCAACAGAAAGTTTTGTGTACTAAATATGTCGACATTAGCTGCTTACTGAATCCTGTAGTAAATTGAATCACTTTAGAAAGTACACATAGGCTCAACCATAAACAGCTAAGACATGTTAAAAAATACCGACACAGAATCGCAAGATTTACCATATTACACAGCAATAAGATGGCTAAGTTGTGAGAAAGTTCTGAGCAGAGTATTTAAGTTAAAAAAAAAAAATAGATGAATTCCTGGAAGTAAAGCCAAGCCACAGCCATTAGTGTCTGATGAAAAGGGACTTTAGAAATTGGTCTTTGCTGCAGACGTAACTAATCATTTAAATTTTCTGAGCCTAAAACTACAAGGTGAGGAAAATCTAGTTTCTGATCTATACACCTTTCTACAGGCCTACAGATCCAAATTCTTCTTGCTTTTTTTGGAACTAATACAGGCCAACAACTTGACACACTTTCAGCAGTTGACGGTCTTCGTGGCTGAAGCAATAGTGGAGTTCCCAACGTCAATTATATGCGAAATCATCAAAGACGTCCAGCTGCAGTTTCAGCAGCGGTTTTGTGACTTGGATTTAAAGGCAGAAGAAGTGAGACTTTTTCAAAAACTATTTGAAGCAGATGTGGTCATTCGCCCAGATGAACTGCACCTGGATATCATTGAGTTGCAAAAAATGAACTCCATAGGGACAAGTTAAAAGAAGGATCGTTGGGTTTTTAACTAGTTTTCACCCAAGGAAGACTTTCCTAATTTCAAATCATTGGCATCAATGCACCTTGAAATCTTTGGAAGAGCATGTGTGTAAAAAAACAAACTTTTCAAGAACAAATACGTGAAGTACTGAATGTGCGGCCTGATCATCTCAGGTCACTGTTGATGTTCGGGACATCAAATCTAAATCCATAAATGTCTGCTAATCACTGCTATTTTGGCATCCAGGAAAGAGTTTAACCATTCCCACTAATACAGGTGTTCATGTGTCGTGTATCAATGTGTTATTAAATAATAACTGAATGAAATAATAATACATAAATAGTTAAAAACAACATCAATGTTTTGATTCATTTTTATTTGGACCTCGAGTGTGTAGTTGGCCACCAAACTGCTGTTAGACAGTTAATGCAGCCCTCGGGCTGAAAAGTTTGGAGACCCCTGAATCTAGGAGGTAATAGCTTTCTGGAAAAGATGGTACACATCATCACCCCAGCAGGTGTTTGCAAAAAAGATGTGTTTTCAATTCGGGTTTGACAGAATCCAGTGTCTGGATGTTTCTGAGGGCGACAGGAAGTGTGTTACAAATTGTTGGACCAGCAAATGCAAAAGTGCGCCTTCCATAAGTCTCAAGGCGGACACGTGGTATCGAGTGTTTTCCACTATCGAATTAGCGGAGTTGTCTAGTGGGTACATAAGTCGTTATTAGCACTTTAAGGGGTCGGGTCCAGGTCATGCAAGCAGCGGTAGCACAGAGTTGCAATTTTTTACTCTATGTGAGCGTGGACCGGCAGCCACTGAAACTCTCTCAGAAGTGTTAGCATGGTCAAATTTGCTTTTGCGAAGAAAAACGCGAGCTGCATTATTCTATGCTTCTTAAATTTTTTATTTAGGAGCTTAGATGGACGACCCACCATGAGAGCATTGCAGTAGTTCATGCGTGATAGCACGAATGCAGAAATCAGTCTCTTTGTTGCATTAAACGTTAAGAAATTTCTTATATGGCTAATTCTGCGCAGCTCTTAAATAGCCTTGCATAGAATGGAATGTTAATGTGATTTTCTTTAGTTAGTATTCTATCCAAGTAGAAACCTAGGTTTCGCACTGTTAGAGAGAATTCACTCTGTATAAATGAGAAAGTAAGGGATGGTGTGTTATTGACAGATTTTAGCTTTTGAGCTGTAGCAATGAGCATCAGGTCAATCTGTTAATCGTTGAATTTGAGCTTGTTTATTTCCTTCCAGTGCTTAACGGACTCCACTGTCTTCTGTGTCATACTAAGAAGCTGAGAGAACTGAGAGGGGATAAGTTGGGTTTATCCGCTAACAATTGATATAGCATGTCAAACTGCTTGATCACTGCACCCAGGGGCTGAACGTATATTGTGAAAAGCACAGGGCCTAGAAATGACCCCTGGGGTACTAACAGATTGCTTCTTAGGTCAAGCCGTTCGCGATTACAGATTGGAACCGATTTTTCAGATACGAGCGGAATTGAAATTTTTAAATCACAATTAGACTTGGACATTTGCCTCCATAAATAGACTTGGACATCTGCCTGCACATTTAGTCGTGGACAGCTTGGAACCGATTTTTCAGCTACGAGCGGAACTGAAATTTTTAAATCACAATTAGACTTGGACATTTGCCTCCATAAATAGACTTGGACATCTGCCTGCACATTTAGTCGTGGACAGCTTGGAACCGATTTTTCAGATACGAGCGGAATTGAAATTTTTAAATCACAATTAGACTTGGACATTTGCCTCCATAAATAGACTTGGACATCTGCCTGCACATTTAGTCGTGGACAGCTTCCTTCGCAAATAGCCTTGGACAGCTGCCTACACTATTAGACTTGGGCATCTGCCTACACTTTAAGATTTTGACAGCTGCCTACCCGAATTGACTTGGACAGTCTTTCACGATGAGACTTGGACAGCTGCCTACACTATTAGACTTAAACAGCTAAATTTACAATTTGACTTTGACGTTTGAATACACAATTAGACTTGGATAACTGCCTACAAATTTAAACTTGGGCAGCTGCTTACGCAAATTGACTTGGACAGCAGCCTACACAATTAAACATGGACAGATTCAACGCAATAAGACTTGGACAGCTGTCTACACAAACAAACTTAAAGAGCTGCCTACACATATAGAGATGGACACGTATATATACAAATACATTTGCGAAGCTGCCTATACAAATAGAGTTGGAAAGCTGATTACAGAAATATAATTGAGCTTCTAATAAAACACTAGGCTTGGACGGCCTACATACAAAAAGACTTTGACAGCGTCCTAGTCATACGACTTTGACAGCGATCACCACAAATGGACTTTTCTTAAACAAATAGAATTTGGATAGCTGCTAACATAAATAACATGAACAGGTGACTACTCAAATAGACCTGTGCAGCTTTGTAAGCAAATAGACTTGTCAAGATCTTGTTCCTTTCTTCCCGGTTCACATTAATTTTATTATGTCTAAAAAATATTGTCACATTTGACTAGTTGGACGTAAACATTTACATTTTATCTGATAGTGTGTATGTTCTCATAATATTTTCAGGATAAAGAAAGCACTGAAAGAATCGAACATGAAATACTCTGGATTACTGTTTCTTGTGATTGCTGTAATGCACAGTCCACACGGCAAGTGAAATATAAGTAATCAATATGTCACCAGAAACATACCTAAACTCTGAATGTATGCATGACAGAAATTATACAAAATTACATATTTATCCAAGAAAAATACTGCATTAGTTGTAGACATGGCCGCAAAATGAGTGACTGACATGGTATCATGATGAATGACAGAAAATTTTGTCATAATGAGTGTGTCACAAGTTGTGTCATAATAAGTGAGTGACAAGTGGTGTCATAATAAGTGTCTGACAAGTGGTCTGAAAATAAGTGATTAGTGTTTCATAATGAGTGATTTGACAATTTGTGTCATGTGAGTGAATGACATGTGTTGAAATGATGAGTGACACAAAAGTGGTGTCATAATGAGTGACCGACAAGTTATGTCATGATTTGTGACTGGCATGCGTTGTGTTACTTAAAAATATACTACACCATGTGTTGTTAAATAAAAAATATACTACACCAGTTTCAAATTTTCATGTGGAAAAGTATTATAAACTGTGTACACAATGTTTTAGCTTATTAAAAATCAGTTAAAATGTCTTATAAAAAATGTCTGGCTCACCCATTCTGTCCCAACCATCAGTTTGGACTTTCGGAAGTGTGGTGTGCTGCGGCACACTCGGCACGCTGCTGATTACGCTTGAAATTACCCTTTTTTATGATCATAGATTAATTTAATTTTGTTGCCATTTACTTTCTTTAACTAATCTTACATTTCTACATTTCTATTACATCACACAGAGAGGAATTGTGTCAAAATCATAAACGATGGATTTCTGCCGAAAGTTCCGAACAGTCGAACTTGTTATAGCTATGTTATAGCCATCAGTCAGATGATTCTGGACGAGGGAGAAACGTTGGAAGATCTCCCACCTGACATCATACTTCAACACAAATGTCCGTATTACGAGGATGACAACCGTATGCGTTTGATGGGGCCAAAAAATGGAAGTTGGACTTTTGTAAATATAACGGATATACTAAATTTTAATTAATTAACTTTGCGCTAACTGATATTCTGAACATACCTACCTACCTACCTAAATACCTATCTACCTAACTAAATACATACCAACCTACCTACATACCTACCTACAAACCTACCTACCTACCTACCTAAATACCTACTTACCTACCTATCTACCTAAATACCTACCTACCTACCTACCTAAATACCTACAAACGTATCTACCTACCTACCTAAATATCTATCTACCAACCTGCCTACCAACCTACCTACCAACCTACCTACCAACCTACCTACCTACCTACCTACCAACCTACCTACCTACCTACCAACCTACCTACCTACCTACCTACCTACATACACATTACACACACACATTACACACACACATTGCACACACATATTACACACACATATTCCACACACATATTCCACACACACATTCCACACACACATTCCACACACATTCCACACATACATTCCACACATATTTTAAACACATACATACATACATACATTTATATATGTATATATTTAAATATATGTATCATTAGTATCCAGTTTCACTTTTGGATCCTCTTCTCTGACAGTATCCCATTTCCTGGTGGGATTCAGATCCCAGTTTGATCCCTTTATCCGATTGAATTGCGTTACTGTTGGGTTCATTTTACTGCGTAATCTTGTTAACTTTACCAAAAGCTTTTATATCCCTTGAAAAATCCCAAGTGAACTTTATAGAAAAGTGTGGAACATTCTAGATAAAATTTAGAAACCTCCCCGAAACACATAAACAATAACTTTTTAAGAAATTATTTTTTGAACTCGATAAATTATACGACTCTATGCACTGTTATAGCTATAATACTTTTAAGCTAAAAGAGGAAGACCACTGGGGGCCCATTCCAAGATTTTACGAAATCATTTATGCCTGAGATGGGAAACCACATAAAAATCATTTCCGTACACTTTGGAGTCAAAATTTAAAATTTTTGCCAAAAAAATCTATTTTTAAATGACAAAGCTATAGCTTATTAAAGTTATCAAACCTTCTGAAAAATCCTAGATTGGATACTCTTAGTTTTAAATCCACTGATTTTAATACGAAAAGTAAAATGTATTGCTACCATGCTAGGCCTATATCAATTAATTCAGATATAAACTATATTGTTGTGTTATGTAGGATTGCTTACGTCATATTCCCCCCGTCCTGAGATCCCGAGCAGACGCTGCCTTGTCATTGGGCATGGCTTATTCCCTTTGATTTTATTTACCACAAATTAAGCTATCGCCTATTTTGGTTGACTTGAAGGCTTTAGAAAAGTATAGTAAATTGTGGAGTGTTCTAGTGACAAGTACAATCGGGAATGCGCCTCTAATATTTGGTAGTACCTACTATAAAAGCAAAGAGAGCAATATTGAGAAGGGGAGATAGTTTTGACTTCACGAGACAAGTGTGTATAATTCTGGGTGCACTCATGTGTTTATTCGTATTCATCATTGTACCTTATTTTTGGCACATTGTATTAAGTTTCATTTTATAATCATATTGATACTTAAATAAATCTTATTAATTGTAATTAGTTAATGTTTTGATTGTCATATTTTTGCTATCGTATTCCTCATATGGTATCGTCCTTTGATTAGTACACCAAGTGGATGATGATCATGTTTCAATATGAACATTAAGACTAGTTTTACTGACTCCAAGCAAGTTCCTGCTTCGTTTGTGAAGTTTATGAGCTTGTCGCTAAGATCTTTTTGCTCCAAGAAGAGGTTTACCTCCAGAGGGCGTCTTTTTGATGACTTGTGTGCACGTTTTTATGACTCTATGCAGAGTTTTACATCCTCTACCCTATGCGACTGTTCTCAAGACTCCAACAAGAGTTTACCTGCTAAGGTCGCAACTTCTACATCAGACACTACTATTGTCATACAAGACATCATTCCTTTCATATTTGAAGGATTTGTATCACTGACAGGTGATATTTCCAGTCTACGATCAATAGAAATCTTACAGCCCTTGCTTCTTTAGGGTATACTTCCCTTGTCTGAATCTTTTGCTACTGGGAGCAACATCCTGTTATGAGGTTTAGACCTAGTCTCCGGAACTGTGGTTGTGGGTGTCAGACCAACATTACCATTAGAGGGTATCTCGTTGCTGCTAGGCAAAGAATTAGCTTGTCGACAGGTAATAGCAGAACCCATCGTTAATCATGAACCTTGTTTCACTGAATATCCAGACGAAGATACAGCATTATAAACATGTGCTGTTACCAGGACCATGAGTTTTAAGATCTCCGAAAATGAGATTTCACCAAAAAGAAAAATAACCTTCCTGAAATTGTCCTGGGAACAACAATTTTAGCCAGTCTAAACGAATATTCAATGAATCACAAGACTCCAACTAGAATGCAACTTATTGAAGAGCAGAAGGGTGATTCAGAAATATTAAAACTTCGAGAGAACGCTTTAACCGAAGAAGAATCTGAACAATTTCCTGTATGTTATCACCTACCAGATGATATACTTATGAGAAAATGGCGACCTTTATACGCAAATGCTAACGAATGTGTTTATACACCATTCCGGATCGAAGTTCTTAACCCAGCCCATAATTTGCCACTTTCACGTACTCTGGTTATGCACCATTCCGGAACGAAGTCCTTAACCTAGCCAATGATTTGCCACTTTCAGGCCCTCTGGTTATACACCATTCCGGAACGAAGTCCTTAACCTAGCCAATGATTTGCCACTTTCAGGCACTCTGGTTATACACCATTCCGGAACGAAGTCCTTAACCTAGCCAATGATTTGCCACTTTCAGGCACTCTGGTTATACACCATTCCGGAACGAAGTCCTTAACCCAGCCCATGATTTGCCACTTTCAGGCACTCTGGTTATACACCATTCCGGAACGAAGTCCTTAACCCAGCCCATGATTTGCCACTTTCAGGCACTCTGGTTATACACCATTCCGGAACGAAGTCCTTAACCCAGCCCATGATTTGCCACTTTCAGGCACTCTGTGAGTAAACAAGACAAATAACAAAATCGCGAAGGATGTTTTTAATTCTGTTATTACAGATTTTGTTTCTCTTCTCCCTGATGTGCTTAATAAAACCAACATTGCTGTACATGATGTTGACATTGGCAATGCAGTTCTGGTCAAGAAACATCCCTATACGGTCAATCCGGAAAAACTTGAAATATTCCTGTCTGAAATGAAATACATGCTTAAAAATGATATTAATGAGCCAAGCTCTAGTTCACCATGCATTTAAGTCCAAAAGCCTAAAAAAACTTACAAGTTTTAAACTGACTTAAGGAAAGTGAATTCAGTTACAATTTTTTTTCCATTTTGATTCCAACGATAGACGATCTTATAGACCGAATTGTTGATGCCAAATATGTGATCGAGATAGACCTATTGTCCGGTAATTGGCAGGTTCCTCTACCTGACAGAGCAAAAGAAATATCTCCTTTCTGTACTCCAGATGGTATACAACAATTTAAAGTTATGCCGTTGGGAATAAAAAATGACCCAGCTACATTCCAACGACTATTAAATAACATTATTGCTGACAAGGAAAATTGCAACGCTAATATTGATGATGTAATTATTTACAGTCAAGATTTTTCAAATCATGTAAACCAGTTAAGATCCCTGCTTAAAAAAACTTTTTGGCAGGAAATTGTAACTGTAAATTTAAATAAATGTGATTTTTGTCATGCAACTATTAAATATTTAGGCCACATAGTGGGTCAAGGTCATGTCAAGCCTGTTCAAGTTAAGATAAATGCTATTATATCAATTCCGCCAACCATTACTAGAAAACAGTTAAGGAGATTTTGGGGAATGGCAGGTTGCTATAGAAAATTTGGAAAAAAAATTCTCAGTTATTGCTTCTCCCTTAAGTAATATTTTAAAGAAAAATGCACATTTGTATTAGTCAGATGATTGTCAGGAAACATTCGAAAACATAAAAAAAAAACTAGATAATGCACCAGACCAGGTACAAATTTATTGCTGTACTGTTGGTAGATTTGTATGTTATATTGATTGTATCTGTGTGCGCCTTCGCCACATTGCACAGGTACAAGTTTATTGCTGTACTGTTGGTAGATTTGTATGTTATATTGATTGTATCTGTGTGCACTTTGGCAACATTGTACCGGTACAAGTTTATTGCTGTACTGTAGGGAATAGAGTTTTATTTTATTAATATTTTCTTCTTTTTTTAAAAAGTAATTTTAATAAATTTATATTTTTAATTAGCCCTAGTTTGGATATCTTTCTCTAATATTGTATTTTCTTATTGGTATCCTCCTTTCGCTTTGTACTGTTGGTCACTAGCCATATAGTCAAATAAGAGATTCAATTATTTAAACCTTATAACGGTAAATATCAAGGGTAACGTAGGTGTATAATATATTGCAGAATTGTTTCTTTTAAAGAACTTTAGGATGCCACACAAATAAAAAAATCATTACATAGATAATCTTTTTTAAAATGAGTAATTATGATGAGTTTTTGTAGTTACAGAAAGAAATGATAACAAAGTGCACGCCATTATTATATCGATAATTTCAGGTCATATTTTCAAATATATATAGAGAGAGAAATAACACCCATATATGAGCGTGACACCTTTGAGTCAGAGATTAGACAGATCTTCGCAACCCATATATGAGCGTGACACCTTTGAGTCAGAGATTAGACCGATCTTCGCCACCCATATATGAGCGTGACACCTTTGAGTCAGAGATTAGACCGACCTTCGCCACCCATATATGAGCGTGACACCTTTGGGTCAGAGATTAGACCGACCTGCGCCACCCATATATGAGCGTGACACCTTTGAGTCAGAGATTAGACCGATCTTCGCCATCCATATATGAGCGTGACACCTTTGGGTCAGAGATTAGACCGATCTTCGCCACCCATTTTACTTTCATTCACCAACAAACTTAAAATAATTCTATACTTATTACGTCATTGAAAAAACACAAGTTTTTTTTTTTCATTTTTAATCGTTACGCCCCTTTTTATTTATTATATATATATTTTTTGGTCTTCTGCGATAATTTTGCACCTACATGCAGTTTGCGAATGTTTATTTTCAGCACTACTCAGAACCAGTGAAAATCTGTTTAGATAAACAATCAGACCATTATAAAAGTTTTGGAATCCAATGTTTACACACTTCAGGGCGAACTTATGAAATTACAAGCGCGTTATATCCATTTTTCATGACAACCAACTGTTCTATGAGGCTTTTCTTGGGTGAGGTAGCGTTTATTGAACAAAAATGGAATAGCCACTCGATTATCACCAATGATCATGGACTGAAGGGATTGTCTAAAGAGATTTCAGCAAACGACTTTGATGGTAAATGCTATTACCATTTCTTTATTGTTTTTTTCTTACAAAACAACGAACGAGTAGGCAGCAAAAGAAATGTCCCACGGATACTACTTCTCAGCCAAGTGCTATTTCTTATTCGTATTTTTATACGTTTTTTTTTTCTGTTGTTTTGTTCGCTGACGAAGGCTTTCTGCCGACACGTTCGTTGTTTTGTTGCGTTCCTTTTTTCAGATTTAACCCTCCTCTGTTTTACTCAGTTTATTTTGTGCTAAACTGATTGCAGTCTTTCCCCTTATAACGTCTAACATAGCAGTAAGCTGCTTGATTTCTTAATCTAAGTTTATTTAAGCACCAAATATTTTACTCATTCGAAGACATGATAATAAAATACCTTTACTTGAAGTTAATGCAAGTTAAAAAAAAGGAGTCCAGTGGATACGGAGGAGAATATAGGTTCTGTGTATTGTGTCGTTGCGAAGATATAGAGGATAAGCTAGGTTCTGTGTATTGTGTCGTTGCGAAGATATAGAGGATAAGCTAGGTTCTGTGTATTGTGTTGTTGCGAAGATATAGAGGATAAGCTAGGTTCTGTGTATTGTGTTGTTGCGAAGATATAGAGAATAAGCTAGGTTATGTGTATTGTGTCGTTGCGAAGATATATAGGATAAGCTAGGTTCTGTGTATTGTGTTGTTGCGAAGATATAGAGGATAAGCTAGGTTCTGTGTATTGTGTTGTTGCGAAGATATAGAGGATAAGCTAGGTTCTGTGTATTGTGTCGTTGCGAAGATATAGAGGATAAGCTAGGTTCTGTGTATTGTGTTGTTGCGAAGAAATATTGGATAAGCTAGGTTCTGTGTATTGTGTTGTGGTTATAATATGGAGGATAAGACATGTTTTGTGTCTTGTGTTGCGGTAAAGATATGGCATATAAAGTATTCTGTGTATTGCTTTTTGGTCGAGATATGAAGGATTATATAGGTGTATTGTGGTGTTTTGAAGCTATGAAGGATAAATTAGGTTCTGTGTATTGTGTTTTGGTGAATATATGGATGATAAGTTATATCTGTGTATTGTGTTCCGGTGAAGATATGGAGGATTAGATAAAATGTATTTATGGGTTTGGGTGAAGATATGGAGAATAAGATATGTTGTATTAATGAGTATGGGTGAAGATATTAAGGATCAAATAGGTTTTATGTATTGTCTTGGGTTAAGATATGAAAGTTAAGATATGTTATATGTATGAGCTTGGGTTCAGATATGAAGGATAAAATAGGTTGCATGTATGGACTTAGGTGTAGATATGGAGGATAAAATAGGTTGTGTGTATGGACTTGGGTGTAGATATGGAGGATAAAATAGGTTGTGTGTATGGACTTGGGTGTAGATATAAAGGATAAAATAGGTTGTGTGTATGGACTTGTGTGTAGATATGGAGGATAAAATAGGTTGTGTGTATGGACTTGGGTTTAGATATAAAGGATAAAATAGGTTGTGTGTATGTACTTGGGTGTAGATATAAAGGATAAAATAGGTTGTGTGTATGGACTTGGGTGTAGATATAAAGGATACAATAGGTTGTGTGTATGGACTTGGGTGTAAATATGGAGGATAAAATAGGTTGTGTGTATGGACTTGGGTGTAGATATGGAGGATAAAATAGGTTGTGTGTATGGACTTGTGTGTAGATATGGAAGATAAAATAAGTTGTGTGTATGGGTTTGGGGAAAGATATGGAGGATAAAAATCCTAACAACATTTTCAAGGGTTTAGACTTTATAAAGAGAAGAGTATGGATACGGGAACGTTGTTTAGTTGACATGGTCCAAAAGACTTGGTTGAGAAGACATGGTTTAAAAGACTTAGTTTAGAAGACAGGGTTTAAAAGACTTGGTTTAGAAGCCAGTGTTTAAAAGACACAGTTTAGAAGACATGGTTTATAAGACCTAGTTTAGAAGACATGGTTTAAAAGACTTGGTTTAGAAGACAGGGTTTAAAAGACCTAGTTTAGAAGACAGGATTTAAAAGACCTAGTTTAGAAGACATGGTTTAAAAGACCTAGTTAAAAGACATGGTTTAAAAGACTTGGTTTAGAAGACAGGGTTTAAAAGACCTAGTTGAGAAGACATGGTTTAAAAGACTTGGTTTAGAAGACAGGGTTTAAAAGACTTGGTTTAGAAGACATGGTTTAAAAGACTTGGATTCGATGTTTTGGCTTAGAAGTCATTCCTTCATGTCGTAGTCTATAAAAAATAGCATAATCAGGGACTAATTGCGTCATGGAAATGTCAAACGTGATTGTCCTGGATTTGAGAGAGCATCGTGCAGGATAGAGAGCTACTGTATATTCCTAGATGCGCGTCATGAAAAGGAAGTATGTGAGTGTCCTGGAGATTAGATAGCATCATGAAGGATAGAGAGGTAGGGTGGAACTCTAGACGTACGTTATGGAAAGGTCGTGTGTGAGTGTCCTGGAGTCGAATCACGAAGCACTTTTTTTGTGGCCAAAAGAGGGATTAGCTCAACTCCAAAAGAATATGAATAAGCATTACCGAAATCGCCTGCTTTAACACAACATCTTTTGAATTCATATATTCTCTTAGACTTCAAGTTTACTTATCTAAGTCTGACAAGAGAGAAAACAATTTCATTTACAGCAACTGTAAAAAACATTATATTACAACATGCGTTGATTTAATGTTTAGCTTCTAGATCAGATTAAAAAAAAAAAAATAACCTCTATCATTTTATCAGAAGCGCCATACTTTAACCACACGGAAGATGCCATGTGTGACGAAGCCGAAAATGTTGGAGTAAACCCATCCAAGAATGGTTCCTTTGACAAAAGACCCCGAACAGGTATCTCACATATATACTATTCATGTGATATATTGTCATATATATATATCTGTGTGTATATGTGTTTTTAATGACATTTTGCCTACCACCCCATTTGGTTCCAGACATTCTTGTTTCAGAGCATTCTGTATATTGACTGTAATGTTACCCGAAGTTAAAGTCAACCCGTACATTACACTGTAGTCTGTACTGCTGCTTTATGATTGTTTTTGTTGCTGTTATGTTTTCATTGTTTTTATTTCCAAACAAGTAACATAAACATATATATACATAAATACACGTTCTCAATCAGGTGCTGACTTTCTGCTTGCCTCCGGAACACGGTTCATAAACACACACACTCTCTGTGTAGTCTCTCTGCGCATGCGCGCTATTTCCTTGGATGGCTATCGGTACGGTCCAGTCCGCTTGTCCACCATAACACCTCCCCGAACAATTACAAGTCCAGTAACATTGGTGCTCGACGTTGTCTTTGAGATCTTCTGGGTAAGACATAGTCTGAAGGTCTTGGATGTCGAGGGTTAATCTTCTTCTTATGTGGACTTGGAGTTGCTGGATGTGTAGACGGTTGATGACTCAGGGCTGCCTGAGCTGTTGGATAAAGACTTCCTGTCATTATATCCAAACCTGGTTCTGAATCTTCTTCTGCTCCATACCTTGGGCGAAGTTGGTCTAAATGTCTCTTCCAAATGGGACCATTTGGATAAATCTTTACCTTGAAGAGACGTGGACCCATAACTTGGATGATTGTACCGGGAGCCCATCGTGGTTTAGAGTCTGTTGTTGTTCCATATACTCTGACGTAACATGGATCTCCCCGGTTAAATGATCGATTAGAACTTCTTTTTGTCCCATTGCGGACGGCTATTTCTTTAAGATGCTGTCCCTGTGCTCGATGAGCAGGAGAGGGAACTAGAGTATCAATAAGTGTTCTTATTTGCCGATTGTTCAGCAGTTGGCTTGGTTCACGTGCTTTAATCAATGAGTTTTGATTAGCAATGTGATTTGTCCTTGTTTGAAACAGTGCGTCTATTGAAATCTTGAGGTTCTTTATTGCAGTTCTGCCCAACAAGTTTAAGTTGTGGTTTTTCACTACTACAAATGACAAATTTGTAGTTATTTCCCCTGCTTTAGCCTTTATCTGCACACTTCCCAAAACATTAAGTAGGTCACCAGATGCTGACTCGTACTTGACCGCTACTGGGCTCAATGTGTGTTGTCCCAGCTTTCCCCAAACAGATTCCGACATAAAATTTTCTCCGGCTCCAGTGTCAATTTCAAATGCAAACCTCTTTCCTTCTAAAATGAGTTCTTGAATAAGGGGCGGGATAGTTTTTATTAGATTTTGCCTTCTTATTCTTTTTAGATGAATCGGTTTCTGGTTTGGAGCATTCTCTTTCTTATTTAGACAAACTCTTTCCAGATGTCCTCTCTTGTGGCAAAAGCGGCAGATCACGTTTTTGTACCTGCAGACATTTCCTTTATGGCCTCTTACTCCACACCTGCCACAAGTTCCACTCGGAAAATCTTGTCTTTGAGATGGAGAAAATTTCTCTGTCTGATGTTGTTTCTTTCTGTGTGACTGAATTTTATTGATAGGCGTTTCTTCATGGACTGTTTCTTTGGCACATTTCGCCGCCTCCTCTGTTTCAACAGCTATTTCTACTGCCTTGTTGAATGACAGTTCAGTGTCCTTCGTTCCGTGAGTCATAGCTTGATACGCACGACCATTTTGTTATGTTTTCATTGTTTTTTATTTCCAAACAAGTAACATAAACATATATATACATAAATACACGTTCTCAATCAGGTGCTGACTTTCTGCTTGCCTCCGGAACACGGTTCATAAACACACACTCTCTGTGTAGTCTCTCTGCGCATGCGCGCTATTTCCTTGGCTGGCTATCGGTACGGTCCAGTCCGCTAGTCCACCATAACACCTCCCCGAACAATTACAAGTCCAGTAACATTGGTGCTCGACGTTGTCTTTGAGATCTTCTGGGTAAGACATAGTCTGAAGGTCCTGGATGTCGAGGGTTAATCTTCTTCTTAGGTGGACTTGGAGTTGCTGGATGTGTAGACGGTTGATGACTCAGGGCTGCCTGAGCTGTTGGATAAAGACTTCCTGTCATTATATCCAAACCTGGTTCTGAATCTTCTTCTGCTCCATACCTTGGGCGAAGTTGGTCTAAATGTCTCTTCCAAATGGGACCATTTGGATAAATCTTTACCTTGAAGAGACGTGGACCCATAACTTGGATGATTGTACCGGGAGCCCATCGTGGTTTAGAGTCTGTTGTTGTTCCATATACTCTGACGTAACATGGATCTCCCCGGTTAAATGATCGATTAGAACTTCTTTTTGTCCCATTGCGGACGGCTATTTCTTTAAGATGCTGTCCCTGTGCTCGATGAGCAGGAGAGGGAACTAGAGTATCAATAAGTGTTCTTATTTGCCGATTGTTCAGCAGTTGGCTTGGTTCACGTGCTTTAATCAATGAGTTTTGATTAGCAATGTGATTTGTCCTTGTTTGAAACAGTGCGTCTATTGAAATCTTGAGGTTCTTTATTGCAGTTCTGCCCAACAAGTTTAAGTTGTGGTTTTTCACTACTACAAATGACAAATTTGTAGTTATTTCCCCTGCTTCAGCCTTTATCTGCACACTTCCCAAAACATTAAGTAGGTCACCAGATGCTGACTCGTACTTGACCGCTACTGGGCTCAATGTGGGTTGACCCAGCTTTCGCCAAACAGATTCCGACATAAAATTTTCTCCGGCTCCAGTGTCAATTTCAAATGCAAACCTCTTTCCTTCTAAAATGAGTTCTTGAATAAGGGGCGGGATAGTTTTTATTTGATTTTGCCTTCTTATTCTTTTTAGATGAATCGGTTTCTGGTTTGGAGCATTCTCTTTCTTATTTAGACAAACTCTTTCGAGATGTCCTCTCTTGTGGCAAAAGCGGCAGATCACGTCTTTGTATCTGCAGACATTTCCTTTATGGCCTCTTACTCCACACCTGCCACAAGTTCCACTCGGAAAATCTTGTCTCTGAGATGGAGAAAATTTCTCTGCTGTCTGATGTTGCTTCTTTCTTTGTGACTGAATTTTATTGATAGGCGTTTCTTCATGGACTGTTTCTTTGGCACATTTCGCTGCCTCCTCAATTTCAACAGCTATTTCTACTGCCTTGTTGAATGACAGTTCAGTGTCCTTCATCCGAAACAAAATTTTCAATACAGCATCGTTCTTTACAGAGCACATGAATCTTGTTCGTAAAGCTTCATCTAGTGGATTCTTGATATTACTAAACTCACAAGTGGCTGCATCCTGTCTGATCCTAGCTGCCAATTCTTTGATTGTTTCCCCCGGTTTTCTACTTGCATCAGACCAAAATTTGAACCTTTCTCTGATTACAAATTTGGTGGGGTCAAATTGATCCATCATTATTCTATATATTTCTTCTATGTTTAAGTCATTTAAATTTTGTGGTGGTTCTTTTTGTTGTACGAGGGTTGATTCTTTGATTGTTTCCCCTGGTTTTCTACTTGCATCAGACCAAAATTTGAACCTTTCTCTGATTACAAATTTGGTGGGGTCAAATTGATCCCCTGGTTTTCTACTTGCATCAGACCAAAATTTGAACCTTTCTCTGATTACAAATTTGGTGGGGTCAAATTGATCCATCATTATTCTATATATTTCTTCTATGTTCAATTCATTTAAATTTTGTGGTGGTTCTTTTTGTTGTACGAGGGTTGATAACATTTTATGCAGCTCTGGCGTCTGGCTTGTTAAAAAAATTTGCGCCTGCCTTTCCTTTGGCACATTATTTGCCAAAACGAAGGTCACATATCTAGCGTAGTAGTCTGTGAACGTTTCCTCGTTATTATTGAAATGTGTAAACTTCATATTCGTAGCCGTATTACCTGTGGCTAGTTTCAAAAGTAGCTCGTTCTGCTGTATGAGCTTCTGGATAATGTCAGCTTGGGTCAGAGTTGACTCCATTGTGTATTTACTTCCTCCGTTCCGTGAACTCACTCGTGCGTATCAATTATCACTCGGTTGTACTGAGTTGTACTGAGTTTTGTATTGAGTTAATACTGACCATCATACTGTGTTGTTGATGCTGGTCGATACCGCACTGTTATGTTTATACTGGCCACCATTTTGTTATGTTTTCATTGTTTTTTATTTCCAAACAAGTAACATAAACATATATATACATAAATACACGTTCTCAATCAGGTGCTGACTTTCTGCTTGCCTCCGGAACACGGTTCATAAACACACACTCTCTGTGTAGTCTCTCTGCTGCTGACTTTCTGCTTGCCTCCGGAACACGGTTCATAAACACACACTCTCTGTGTAGTCTCTCTGCGCATGCGCGCTATTTCCTTGGATGGCTATCGGTACGGTCCAGTCCGCTTGTCCACCATAACAGTTGCTTTGTCTGATAATAACAGCAATTGCTGAATGTTTACATAAGTAAATACTTATAGTTTACTTCATAGAAACAAAAGTCTTTCTCTTAGATTTTAATTTTTTTATATGTTGCTTGGCTGTAACATAATCAAAACGGAGTCAACAATGAAGGCTTCTTTCTTGTAGTTTCAGTAAAAGATGTGCTTACTTGGGCCATTGTAAAAAGATGTGCTTACTTGGGCCATTGTAAAAAGATGTACTTACTTGGGCCATTGTAAAAAGATGTGCTTACTGTGGCCAATGTAAAAAGACGTGCTTGCTTGGGCCATTGTAAAAAGATGTGCTTACTTGGGCCATTGTAAAAAGATGTGCTTATTTGGGCCATTGTAAAAAGATGTGCTTACTTTGGCCATTGTAAAAAGATGTGCTTACTAGGGCCATTGTAAAAAGATGTGCTTACTTGGGCCATTGTAAAAAGATGTCCTTACTTGGGCCATTGTAAAAAGATGTGCTTACTTGGGCCATTGTAAAAAGATGTGCTTACTTGGGCCGTTGTAAAAAGATGTGCTTACTT